ACATTCAGTGAACATAAAAACTAGTAAAAACATAAAAAGCTAGTGACTTCTATAGCAGAGGTCAAAATACCTTAACTTCATTTATTTTTACTAAGGAAGAACTCTAAATGGAGATTATAGTTGAAGGTTATATAAATATTTACAATTGACATACAGTTGTCATCTCTTTTGTCAATATAAGTTTTTAAAATAGCAGATTCTCCTTTGTGTTGAAGCTTTAGTACTCTTTTAAATAAAATGCAGAGTGGCAATAGAAGAGAAGGAACTTTGGCTTTGATTCTGATTTAGATTTAGTTTCGGGGTTCTGTCACTTATTTGCTTCATTTTCCTCATCTGTAAAACAAGGATAATAATAACTACCTCACAGAGCTCACAAAAGGATTAAATGTAATATTAATAAATGTTACAGCATCACAAGTAAACACTATAGATCCTCAATAAATGGCAAGTTAGATCATAACACAAAAAAAGACACAAACAAGCAGATTTGATATTCCAATTTAATTCTACAAGTTCAACTATATAGCTGAAGCCCTTATTATCTTCTTCCACTGGAAAGGACAAAGAAAACCCTTCACACAAAAAGGGATTATAGGAAAAAGGGTAAGTCTCCAGAGAATTCAAGAAGAAATAGTAACTTCTACTATAGAAAAGAGGAGGAAGGGGGCATGAGGTCTAACTTGATGGTCCTGAATACCCTCCCCTCCTCAAGGATGGGAAACCTGGATAAAAATGGGAAAAGTTGGAAGCTGAGGAGCTTCAAGAGATTTCCCTGCTTCCTGTTTGGCATTCTAGAAGACAACCTTGTGGAATAACCACTATCCAACATAGGACTACTACAAACAGAATACAATGGCAGCATGGTGTGAGCAGGCCAAGTTCTGTCACAGCAGGCCTTAAGCATCCTTCACTTTTGTACAGCAGGCTCTCACGTCCAGGTATTCCTTCATGATCCAATAGGGTGTGTAGAAGCTTGCTGTTGCAAGTTGAAAATGAGAAGCCATTCAGGTCACTGTGAGATGGCCCCAGAATAGACACTGCAGAGCAGATAAAGTAAGCCAGGGTTCAGGGTGTAGATGTGGCTGAGACCTGTGATGCTGTTGAGAAGCAAGGGAAAGTAACAAGTGAGCAAGGGAAGGCAAGAATCTCTGACAGATCTGTAAGAAGCAATAAAAGGTATCAGCCTAAGACTGGAGGTATGACATAGCAGTAGAGCACTTGCCTAGCAAGGCTAAAGCTCTGAGTTCAAACCTCAGTATTTCATCCAAAAAGAAAGTGTGTTATGCTGTGTTTAGCGAATGACAGACTTCAGCAACAGATCAATGAGGCATGTAGGAACCAGTTTGAGCTGGCTATATTTCATGGAAGTTGGTGAACAGTCTGATGACAATAGGAAAGATCTATTGAAGCTTTGCTGCCTTCTCATCCTTGCCCCCAAAGACTTCTGAACATTTCCTGACACATCGAGGCCATTGCTGTGTTTAGGAGGAATAGGGGATCTCAAACACTGAGATTTGCTCTGAGCACCTATTCCAAACCTAAAGACATTGAGATAGTGTTGCTCGCTATCTTCAAACTCTATTCATATTCTATTTCACTTGAAAGGAATTTCAATTTTGAAAAAAATGAATGGCCTTCATAACTCTTGATATGTTAGATACAATGTGTCAAGTTCTACAAGTCATACTTTCTTTCTGTGAAACCTGGAAAGGAACTCACGTGTTATTATTATGTGCCTTTCCTTTCTAATTCAAAGTACCCTAATTATATTAGGCAATAGGAGGTCAATGAATTAATACATGAATGAACCTATGAGAAAATTATGTATATAAGATACTTTCTGTTGATGCATATTTTAACTGCAAACAAAATAGTACTAAGATTCAAAAATATAAAAAGGAATTACTTTTCTGATCTATTTCTGTACATAGAAGTAATAAGTTAGAGGATTACTATTAGAGATCAGTTAAAAGGCATTTTTGTATAAAATTATTATTATAGAAAAGTCTGCTTGATAAGTTCAAATCAATAAACTTTAAAATAATATTTTCTCTAGAATAGTTTGTGAGGCATCTAGATGTTTTTCATAAAGATTCTCTTTGAAATATGAATTTACAGTCTTTTCTTTCTAAGCTTGTTAATTTTAAATTGTTTTATCAACAGATTTTCTTTTCTTTTCTTTTTTGTCGATGGTAGAGCTTGAATTCAGGGTCTGGTGCAGTCCCTGAGCTGTGTTGCTCAAGGCTAGTGCTCTGCCACTTTGAGCACATGGCCACTTCCAACAGATTTTCTTGATGGTGGGGTCTGGAAGGTTGAGGAATATATATTAATTATCAATATAATGAACACAGCAGAATGTTATGGCTTACTGAAAAAAATCCTATAGTTTGTATTATAAACTACACAAGAGGAATTGCAGAGTTATTTCAGATGGCTTTTTCTCTGGCTCTTTAGATCATTAGAGTCACAAAATTTTAGTATTTTATTTTCCTTACCTCTACCACCATAATATATGTTAGATTTTATATATAGGCTCATACTCATAGAGAGGTCACAGACAGTGGCTTAGAGAGGGGAAAAACCCTGCTTTTATGTTTCCTTTGACAAAGGTGGTATTTCAGTCATCCTAAATGTATATCACACACAGATTAAAAGGTGACATTATTAGAAATTTTAAATAATTCAACAAAATGGAATGAATCTGGTATTTTAAAACACAATTTTAATCTCTTCCAAACCTCCTATTTATCTTCATAGAGCACAAATGTGTTTGAAATCTATGGTTTCTGGCATATCTGGGGTAAGGTTATACTAGGATTTTACCAGACCTGTCATTCTCTTAACTTTCCTCCATACTTCATGGTATCATTCCAGTTATAATTAGTTGTCTGGTAAAATTAAGAACAATCTATTTCAGTGAATGCTCATGTGAACATTTAACAACTTTTTGTTCAAATGACAGCTTAGCGACAGGAAGAATAAACCAGAGAGAGTCACTGATGGAACCTTAGTTCACTTAATATTGCCAGCTCAACGAAAATGCTAAGATTTCCATTTTTTTCTTCTTTGTTATTAATCATCAGGCACATATTTCTCATCAGATGAGCAGCAGTTTGATGGCATTCCTGCCTCAACCAGCATGTTTTGAACTGACCTGTCTTCATTGCTATGGCTCCCTAGAAACTTTGCAGCTGATAATGTTGATTCAGCTGAATGCTTTGACATTCAGCTTGTCAGTGAAAGCTATTTTAAACCTAAAATGCACCTCCTTTCCAACACTGCAAACTGTTGCTGCTCATACACAAATTTCTATCATTTCATTACTGTACAGAATTTAAAAATTTGAAGTTACTATTATATGTGTGTAAGCACATATGTGTGTACACACATGTGTGCTTACACACATACACACACCATTACTGGGGCTTGAGTTCAGAGCCTGGGCACTATCCCTTAGCTTGTTTTGCTTAAGACTGGTAATCTATTACTTGAGCCATAGTTCCATTTCTGGCTTTTTGGTGGATAATTGGAAGTAAGAGACTCATGGACTTTTCTGACTGGGCTAGCTTTGAACCTGGATCCTCAGATATCAACTTCTTGAGCTAGGAATATAGATGTCAGTCCACTAGCACCTGGCTATTATTACTTAATATTAAGGGCATATCTACAGATTATTAAAAAAGTACTTAGCACTTTACAGCAACCTTCATAATTGTGTACTCTATCTGAGAGTGCCCATCTGTTCTCCAAACTGTGTAACATCCCATTCTCTCTGTAACTGTTTCCTTATTATAAAATGCAGTCATATCATGAGTACTAAATGAAAAATACCTGGGCAGTGCTTAGATAGGAACTGTAACACAGTAAATCCTACAAGGTTAGGAGTATTTTTTTATTACATTCCTTAGATGAAGACAACAACTACCATTATTTCAGTTTTTAGCTGTAAAGGATAAGACTTTTCATAATATGATGACATAATTTATTATTCCTAAAAGTCATTAGCAATTCCTTAAAAGAGGTCATGTTCAGAATGTCTCACACTTGGTTTGTGTGAATTAGGGTTCAAGCAGTGTTTTCAATAGTTGAGTATGGTTGATATTCTCTCAATAATGTGTGTTTGAAGAAAACGTTTTCCTCCTTTTATTTATTGAAGGAAACAGGTCACCAATTCTGTAGAAATTTCCTCATTATGGATTTGGTTCATTACATAGTGTAATTCAACAAGTCCCTTTGATTTTTCTGTAAAAATAGTGTTTAGATCTCACACACAAATACCTTTCTTTTGGCAAGCATAAATGTCATAGGTAATACTGTGAACTTTCTACTGCATTAGATGACAAATGATATTTGTCTTTACTTTTACTGATGTTAAAAGATTGATGGTTAACTTAAAGTGTTTTCAGTTTGACCCATCATTACAAAATGTGCCAAACTTTCACCTAATAGTATTAACTAATGGTGACTGCTGGTTAAATGTATTATTTCATGTAGAGCTGCAAAATGGTGACTTTATAATTCCATCATCCTTCTTTATTTATTGGTCATGGGGCTTGAACTCTGGGCCTGGGCACAGTGCCTCAGCTCTTCAGCTGAAGGCTAGGGCTTTACCACTTGAGCCACAGTGCCACTTCCTCATCCTCATCTATTAACTGAAATTTTGTAACAATGAAATTTCTATCACCAACTGCAAGGTTACCCTGAAATAAAACCCATAGCATAAAAGCAGGATATATGCTGTTTCTTACACTGAGTTTAATCTACTACCAGTCTTGGAGTTAGTGTCCTATTAACTTCCAGTAGTGATCAATGAGTCTCCCCTTCCTTTCTCACAAGATCACCATGTCAAGGTCACCAAGTGGTTTCGACTCTGGGATATTGGCAGGACTAGAAAAGGGTGGGATAAGAAGGGACTGGGCTGGCCAAGGCATGGGGCAAAGATTCAGGATAGGGAAGAATGGTCAAAAGGGTCAGAAAAGAGAGAATACCTCAAGCAGGCTCTAGGAGGTGGAATCCAAGTCTTCTGAGGTGTCCTGGACATCAGTGCTTGAGGACCGGCTAGGTGCCTTGGTGTCACTGCCACTATCAGCAGCAGCAGCAGCAGCAGCATTCTCCTGCTGACAGGCCTCTTTGGAACCAGGAAGCATGCTGCCCAGGGTGTCTTGGTTCTCTCTGGATCCCAGCACCACAAACCCGCCCTTCTCCTTCAGCTCTCGTCTCAGCTCATCAGCCATCGGCGAGAGATCCCGCTTCATGGCATAAGCATCTTCCCCATCTGCATAGTACTTGGGTTCCACCTCACTAACCTGAAAGTTGAGGGTGTTGGAATAGAGGTGCAAGGCCGCCCGGTTGCTCTTCCTGACGTGCAGGGACACGTACTTGGCGCTAAAGTTCTCGATCATGGCCCGGGAGGCCTGGTCCATAAGCTTCTGGGCCAGGCCGAGGCGCCGGTGCGAGCGCTTCACTGCCAGCGAGGTGATGTGTCCGTGGGGGACATCATCGGGGTCCTCCTCCATTTTGGCCAGGACGTAGCCCACGATCTTGCCGTGCTCGTCTTCGGCGATGTAGGAGAGCTGCGGCCAGGAGAGGCCGTGGTAGAAGTAGTACTTCATCTGATAGTTCTCGGGGAGGCACAGGAGGTTGCAGTGTTGCATGTTCATCAGGTCATCCGGCCGAGCATTGCGGATGTTCATGATGGCGGCGGGTGGAAAGCCTGTGTCCGACGGTGGAGAGCTAGGAAGAGATGGTCCTCGAGCGGAGCGAGGAAGCCCGTTTGCCTCTGGGGGAATCGAGTCCGGGAGGCCCAAGCCGCTCAGCTGGAAGGTGAGGACGCCAGGAGGGTGGCTGGCGGGAAGGCCGGGTGGCCAGAAGGCGGAAGAGGCGGGGCTCTGCCGCACTTCCGGGAGGGCGCTGGGTTCCAGCCAATAAGATCTTTACTTGCTGTGCTTGTGCGCACCCTGCTGTGGGGGCGGGAAAGAGGAGTTGCTTTTATGAACACTTTGGTTTTAAATGCTGCGCGCAGCTAATTGCATTCATCATGGTGTTGTTGGGTTAAGGTGTAACTTTGCAAGCTGAATACATCTGGATACATCTATTCAAGGAGAACAAATGTATATAGCCAGAATTTACATGAAGAATCAGAACATTGCCTGCAGCCTCGAAGTCCCCTTCCAGAACCCTTCACCTCTGCTATCCATTTTATACAAATGGGAATCACAGTGCAACCATTCTTTTGTGTCTTTCCCCCGCCCCCCATCATCGTTTCAGCCATTTAGTTGAAGGTTCTCCATATTTGACATTCGATTGCCCTAAATACATCACAATTTATTTCTTCTCCTGTTATTGGCCAGCTCCGGAATAATGTGATCAGCATGGCCAAATAATATTGTGTCAATAATATATATTATTAACATAAATGCCTATTTACCTGGATCACAGATTAGAATGATTTTCAACTTTTATAAATATCAGTCAGCAATTTTCTAAAGTGATTGTTGCACACTCTCATCAATATTTGGGATTTCCTTCATTGTTTTCATTTTAGCTATTCATTTGTAATATGGGGATTATTATACTGTAGCATTGTAGTTTTAGTTTGTATTTCTCTGATGCTTCGTGTAATTGAACACCTTTGTGTGTGTGTGTGTGTGTGCTCTGAGCCTGACCCCAGTACTCAGAGTCTATACTCTGACCTTGAGCTTTTCTACTAAGCGTTTTTGGTAGTTAACTGGACCTAAGAGTGTCATGGACTTTCCTGCCCAGGCTGGCTTCCAACCAAGGTCCCCAGATCTCAGTTTCCTGACGAGCTAGGATTATAGGCATGAGTCATTGGCCCCTGGCTAATCAAATACCTTTTTATATGCCCATTAAGATGTTCTATGTTCTCTTTTTGGATGTTACAAATCTTGCTCATTTTCCTATTGGGTCATATATTGTTTTTATTTCAATATTTAATTAAATAGATTATTTTTCAAAATATGTCCTGGATTGGAATCCTTTGTCAAATACAGTTATAATAAATATCTTTTCCTATTGGTTAGCTTTTACCTTTCCTAATGTATTTAGTTATAGCAAACATGAATTTCTATATGGTGAAATTTCTTCTCTTAAAATTTTTAAGTGCCTTCTAATTGTCTACTTCATAGTCACAGAGGTTTCCTTTGTATTTTCTGCTAGAATAATTATTGTTTTATTTTTTTGTATTTGTATCTATAACAATTGGAATTTATTATTATGTATATTATGAGGTAGTACTTTAGTTATTTTTCCTACATACATGTACACTTGAGTTAGCACAATTTACTTTTAAAAAAATCATCATCTTTTCATCACTGCATTGCAGCATTATTTTGTCATGAATTCTAAATTCCCTTTCTAGATACATTTTTTAAAATGTGTGACATTTTGATAAAGCAATATTTACAGTATTTCTCTAATATGCAAAAAAGCCACATTTTATTATACTTTTTAAACATAAGTTGAATATGAGCTCTAGAATTATTTACATATTTTAAAACCTTCTCAGTTTCATAACCAATCTAAGAATTCAAACACCACAGTTCATTCTGTTGTAAATATACTACTAGCTAGGTCACAAATATACTCTTCTAGACTCAGTCAATTCTTTCTAATCACTTGTGCAACATATATTGAATGACCACTTTTTTTGTTAAAATCTGATTATGTTTTTAAATATATTTTTAAGTTTAAAAATTTGTACCAATTAAGCCTGGGAAGGTGGCTCAGTGGTAGAGTGCTTGCCTTGCATGCATTAGGCCCTGGGTTCGATTCCTCAGCACCACATAAGCAAAAAGAAAAAAGCTGGAAGTGGTGCTGTGGCTCAAGTGGTAGAGTGCTAGCCTTGAGCTGAAGAGCTGAGGGACAACGCCCAGGCCCAGAGTTCAGGCCCCACGACTGGACCCAAAAAAAATTGCACCAATTAATGTGTTTACTACAACAATTGCATAGATGTCATACATTGTGCTTTAATCATTAAGTTTTTAAGACATAAGACATAAATGTTTTGGCTGACTATATCTTGTAAAAGTTATATTTCAGTATTTTTCCCATTCAGAAATTTATCTTTTGGATATGATTTACACTATGGATAAGAATATGTACCCTGAAGTGTTGAACAATTGAAAGGATGCTCCAGACAATGTATTTGGTTACAGTGTATTTCGATACTTTAAAAAACATCCTTGGCCTACCAAAACTTCTGGACATTGTATTCTTAGATATCAACATTTTAAAACCAGCCAAAGGTAGAGATATACAGTCATATTGAATAGTTTCTAGTTAATATCAAGGATGGTAATTGCTAGTAGTTGGGCTTATTCCAGAGTGGGCGGGGTATAAAAATCAACCTAAGTAATCACAATAATGCATTTTTTATACGCACATAAATACAGAGAAAATATGTTGCAATGTGTTTGTCAGGGGAAAAGGGTCTTCCTGATTCATTGGCCACAGCACCTAAGACTAAAATTTCAACACTAGTTTTATCCTGATAAACTTTTCATTGCCAGAGAAATTCTCATCATATTCCCTTGAGTCTATACACATTAATTTCCATTGCAGTAAAAAGTAAGGACCCTAGACTAAAGACAACGATGCTTTAATGTAGCATTGATGATAAGTTGTACTTGGTTACATTCCTCAAGCTGAGGATAAGTAGAGGTTTTTACCAACAAATCATAACAATGCCTCTACTTTCTAGACTATAGAACTGATCAGAGTTCATTGACATTCTTTTTGGCTTGTTTATGAAACAGTATCTCTCTATGCAGCTGGCTCAAACTTGAGATCCTCCGGAGTGTCTCCTGCCTCCACTCCTAAGCAGCAGAATTACAGGTATAAACAATCATATCTGGCTGTTAATCTATGTTTATCATAAATTGAAGGCCTTCATAATTTTCACTCTTTGCAATAATTTAATACAAAGACATCTAATACATAACTTTGTTGCAAATAAAGCTTCTGTGGTCTTACTCAGATCTTATGCTGTATATATTAATATTTTATGGAGAGAAAGCCTCTGTGCCTGATTCAGTGTTAATCTCATGCTTATCAAATTTGACAGTAAGGTAACTGTTTGAGTCTAGTTTTTGTACAATCCTTAGTCAAGTTATTTTTAACCTTGTTTTTCTATATCCTCCATTCTGCATTACTTCTACATATGACTCAAACATTACTGTATAAACAATCCCTATACAGTATATTTTCAGTATGACCTTTAGACTACATTTCTTTCGCACTGTTAATGGTCAATTTAATTCCAAACCTTACAATGAGATTTTAAATGGGCTTTTAATTCCCCTGAGTCATTGTATCAGCTTTACTGTAAGAATGTATTATGCATCAAGGAAATCTGCTGTCAAGGTCTGACTCTAAACAGACTACTGGGATCATGTGAAGCATCACTGCAACTATTTCACTAATAGTTAAGCCCATAATCTCGTACTCTAGGTCATTCCAGAGAAATAATAGCTCCACTCCACTCCACTCAATCTTGAGCTTCTCCACCCAGTCCAGTGCCAGCACTTTTCCCCAGAGTCCCCTACTCTTCAGAAAACTAACAGAGAAACCCAATGAGAAGACTCACCAGAACTGAGAAGTGTTGCTTGGAGGGTCCAGTGTTGAGATGCAATTCTAGTGAGGCAGTTAAAGTTGGGAGGGAGGCGAGGGAGAGAGAAAGAGATAGTGAGGAGCCCAGAATCCAGTCTATAAACAGTCCCAGGTTCTGGGACCAAATGTTAGACACAAAAAAAGTCACTGAAGCTAGACAAAGAGACCAATGCCAGTACGAATTTATTTGGGAGGAAAATTTGCAGAGGGGAGCCTCTAGCCAAAGCTAGAGACTCACCCCCGCATACAGTCTGGTACATTTTATAGTGAATCTGTGGGAATGCTATAGTTTTTATCTGGTGGGGGTAGGTATGAAAGTAACTAATGGTGAGACATAGATAATGTACAAAATGAGTCACAGCCCAGGAATGGAAGAACCGGGGTGTGTTTGTGTGTGTGTGTGTGTGTGTGTGTGTGTGTGTGTGTGTGTCTGTGTCTGTGTCTGTGTGTCTGTGTGTGTGTCTGTGTGTGTATGTGTGTGTGTGTACAGAACCCTAGTCTGTTTGAAGCAGCTGTTAAGTCCTGGTTGGCTCCAGCCACATGGGTTACAACCAGTCAAGGAGCAAGGGTCTGGTGGGAGAGTTCATAAATCCAGGCCCTGTTCTAGGGCCTCAAGATACAGACATTAAGCTCTTTGTTTCTAAGAGTTTGTACATGATGAAAGATTTCTAATAAAGGAGTAGCAAAGAGAAGATCAGCCATATCTTGGATAAGAGAACTTCCAGTAAGCAAAATGTTATCTATATCCTTCTTCCAAATTTAGGAGAACAAAGAAATGCATTTCTTAGAGACTGGAGGAATTTAAAACAATGAGATCTAGAGGATTATATTTGTTGTTTTATGCTGATACTGAGGCTTGAACTCTGTGTCTGGATTCTGTCTATTATTATTGTTGTTGTTGTCGTCGTTGTTTTGGTCAGGACTGCACTACTTGAGCCATACCTTCACTTCAGGCTTTCTGGTGATTAATTGGAGTTAATAGTTTCATGGACTTTCCTGCTAGGGCTGGCTTTGAACCATTGTCCTCAGATCTCAACCTCCTGAGTAGATGGGAATAGAATTGTGAACCATG